AGGAGTTCTATATATATATGTATATACATGTATAGGTCATGGACTCGTATGTTCATACATTCATATATTCGTTCATTCATGCATTCACATATTCATACAATCATATAGTTATATGTGTATATATGTGCATGTACACATACATATACATATACATGCTATCTATATATATATATATATACGGCAGATAGGCAGGCAGGCAGGCAGGCAGGCAGGCAGGCAGGCAGGTGAGTAAGTAGGGCAGGCAAAGCAAGTCAGGTGCGGCACAGTAATTAATTAGAGTGGGCAGGGGGGGTAGATGCGACGACGAACGCATATGTGCACATCAGGTTGGCTGAGCTCGAGGCCAGGTGGCTCTTGGTCTCCAAAAACTCCTCGCCGACTCAGCATGCATGGCAGCATAGCGGGAATTCATGACCCCAAGGGACCCCAAGGCAGTCCGAGTCACGAACCTGGGAACCCAACTTGAACTTTTACCAAAGCCTAGGCCTCAAGGGGTGGAGTGGTGGCGGGGTCGGAGGTCACGCGTACCCTGTGATTCCTGCACCGTGTGGATTCCCATGGTCTTCGGGTGCACGAGGTAGAGAACTACCTCTCAAGCTGTCCGCTGTCAGCATGCAAGGCCATGCTGAATTGGGACTTGGAATCCTGCTAACAGCTGGGTCTCATAGTAGATGTCGACATAAAAAGAAATCACCTAAGCCGATCAGCTTGCGGGTCCTTGGCCTTCCTTCAATCAGGTCTAAGTGCATGACATAGAAGGGTATGCTAACGAGCCACTCGAAGCAGTACAGCGCAAATGACCTGAGTGGGCGATGTGCAATTTGCAGATGTTGCTGCGAGGCAGTCCAAGCGCTACACTGGCTGAACGCAGTTTATAGATCCAGGCTTCTGCTTTGGGCCCAGGCGCTGCACAGTAGAGGCACCAGTAAAAGAGCCTGGCTCTGAGGAGAAGTCTAGCAAGGGCCAGCAGAGCACTTGCAGGAGAAGTTCGCGGTGATCAGCGCCGGACCAGACTTTTCTATCGGGAGACTCCTCCTGCAAGGAGTGAAGTGTCTGCACCTGAAAGTTGCGGGAACACCGGACCAAGGCCCGCCCGGCTTGCGGGCTTCGCAGCTCGCCCCTATGTTGCCGAGGTGTCTTGAGAAAAGAGGGGAGTTGCGAAACCGGAGCGCAGTTCTAGGGAAAGGAAGTGGGCCGTATTCAAGTGCCTCTGCTTGCTGGACACCTGATCAAATCTTCACAACCCTTAATCAACGAACTGATCCGCAGAGTGAACATAGTTGGCATGGTTCGACAAAATCGCTCCTCGCACCTCAGAAATGCTGAGGCAGGAGCCAACGGGAACAGGATTGCAACGCAAATCCACCTCATCCGACAAGAGCAAACAAGGAGCTCATAATACATGCCGCGGAAGATATTACGAAGCTAAGGCATGGACAAGGGAAATATGACCAAGTAGTAGGGCCTCAAATCACGAAGCTCGGTGCGATTGAGCGTCGCACTTGGTGAAAGGATCCCTACACACCACATAGCCTTCGACATCAATAGAGATAAGTGTTGACAACAAGCGTAAATCCCGGGGCAAGAACAGCATTGGTTGGAAAATGAGGCCCGCCCACTTCGGCCAGGGATCCAGTTTGAGGGCTGAAATGCAACGTCATGCAGTGGCAAGTAATGTTTTGCCTGAAGTTTACAAGGGCTCTTTCCTGTGTCTCCTCACATCCACTGCAAAGCTATCAGCTAGCACTGGATTCTATGCTTCAGTCTGCTTCAGGCCGCATCATCTGCATCTTGGCTGGACGAGCATGTGAAGCTGCATGACGAAAACAATCGCAACCTTTCGAATGTAGGCGAGCGATGCTGGAAGCCGCGGCAGCTAACATCTTGGCAAGACTCGCTGCCACCCGCGCATCCGTTCTCATGCTTCTCGTGCAGTCTCGTCGCAGCAAGGCGTATCCGTATCCGCTAGGAAGCACGCTCAGGAAGTCAGGCACAGTTGCGGCAGTTGCGTGTTGATCTTCTGGCCTGCATACGGCGAAACGAAGCCGCAGCCTAAGCATCTCTCAACATCCTGCACTCCGCATCACTGTCAGAGTCTGACAGATCGACAACGACTGTGCCGTGGGCACCTGCGGCCGCGGCTGCAGGAGGTCGACTTGGTGGCAGATCCTGGGCCGGAGGTCGGTAGGCGTCCCAGCAGCTGTCCAGATCTGCCAGCCATTGCAATCCCGCAGCATCTTTCGTGCTTATCGGTGACCGCCGCACAGAATGGACTTCAACATGCTTGACATCGGCGCTCTCACTGGGCTCCGTCTTCAACGCGGCTGTCGGTATCAAGCGAAACTCGCGTGTTCCATCGGCGAGGTCAGCAGCGACGACGCAATCCAGGGACATTGGGCCCTGTTCGGATCCATCGGCCGTCTCGGCAGAGGACTTGAGAGCAGCGCTTGCGACCTCCTTCGAGATGCCGAGCTCCCACATCAACTCTTGCCGAGAGACTCGAGGACGGAGGCCTAGGCAAACACAGCCTTTTCGAGCTTATTCAGGGTTTTTTCTCGGTGGCGTCAGATTTTGTGAGGACTTAACCATGACCCGGCCTTCGAGTGCACGCCGCACTGCCGTAGCGATGCTGGCGGCTTCGGCGGCTACTCCGACGTCGACCGCAGGCTGGCCGCTGTCGGACATGGAGGCACGGCATGATTCCGCGTGAGGCAGGCATACGGTAGGGCGGGCTCTCTCCGGAATGTAGCTCCAAGTCTCGTTGCCAGGCATGGTTAGATTCGCGAAAGTAACTGCAAACCTGACCCTACTAGAACATCACTCTTCGAGATCCATAAACTTAGCCTCTTATATAGGGTTCATATCTGAACTCAAAGCAGCACGTCCAGGGACACGGAGAAGTGCGTGGCTGGTGCAAGCATGCCCTCCTCAGTCGCAGGCCTCCATACAGCAGCACACCGGAGGTTTTGCTGCAACACCATCAAGCGATGGCAGGTGAAACAGTCTCCCCCATCTATGTCGGGACATGTCATGTGAGACTTCGAGATGACGGAGGCGACCCATCTTGCGAGTGGGTTTAGGATAGCTCAGGGACGTCTAGGGTTGGGTTCAAAGCCGCGTGTCGAAGCGATGTCTGTTCGCCTCCTTCGCTGCACCGTCGACTGCTCTGTCGCTGCAGCTGACCATTAGCTCAGCCATGCACCTAAAGCTACAAAAGGTCACATCGTTCAAGACAGTCAAGATTTGAACACGGTCCTGCGTGCACTGGGATTTCTCTGGAATAGGACTTGTGCGACACGGCCTTTCACCTTCGGTGAAACGCAAACAAGCCAATAACAAGCACTCATCATGTTGCTTGAAATTCCGAGTTGATATTCACGGCTCTGTCACCGTTCATGTTTCGCACGTCAGCACGACGCACTGTCTGTGCTGCTTCAAATTGAATTCTCTGCCTCTTTGCGACTGGTACTGAAGCGTTCGACGTTGTCGCACGCTGCATGCAAGGAATCTTTCCAGCACAAGCTATAAATTTCGTGGCGTTGTGTAGGTAGCGGATGCAACAGGACATGAGAAGCACGAGAAAGAGCTGGGTACGTGTGTTGGCGAGGTGCCGCAGCACTCTTGCTCTCAATACCTCAGTGATCACTGAGTCGAGAGCTAACTCGAGCCGTACTCGCTTTTGCAGCATGATGTAACTTCCGAAGATGGTGTCCAACCGCCAGACAAGACCTGACCCCTGGGACCCCGGCGCAATGCTGGCAATGACCTTCCTCTGCTTCTGCCACTCCTCACCTGTATTTCGGTGAAGCTGCGAGGGCGTGCGATTTTGCTGATGTGGCGGTGCATGTTCGAGCGAATTCATGCGCTGCTATTGTTCGAAACGCTCGTGCGAGTGCTTGTGCCAGCTGGGTAGTTCGTTCCAGAGGACCGCCTTCTGGAAAAACTCACGAAACACAGTGTCGGAGAAAGCTGGCTCGATTTCAGGCTGGCTCACGACGGGCTGCTACGGCATCATCGGTCGGCTGTGGCTCGCTTTGCTACATAATTCGTGGGGGCTCTCGCACGGGAGCGCACTGTGGCAGCCTGAGGCGGCTTCTGAGGCCCGCACCCATGAAACGCCCTTGGAGCCAGGACTCGGCATACTCAATCTGGAGCTTCGGGTCCACTTGACTGGGCGGGAGATGCTTTCGCGTTTAGAAATCGCCTGCCAGGCAGATGCTACAGTGCCTCGCCTAGGGTCCTCCTGAAGCTTCTCGACGACGTCGTCGACATCAACAACTGATCCCCTCGGTATTGGGGAGCGCTGCTCGAAGCCACGTGTGACCCAGGCAGGGCGAACTTGAGGCTCAGAAGGCTTCTCTTTGGGGAATGCAAGCTTCCTGCTTCCTGGGCTTCTCCCAATGACTGCAACAATGCGATCCCCGAAGCACGACTACACTCCCTAGAGTTCCTAAGCCCCTAAGCAGGAATTGAAACGAAGATGAATGCACAGCTGGGCTGAGCCGTGCGCTTGTCAACATCAATGTGCCAAAGACCGCAACAGAGGCAGCCCAGTGCCAAAGGCCTTTGTACACGGAAACTTGGGGGGGAAACATCGAAACGCCGATTGCTTCAGCACTCTACCAATAGCTCTGTGAACTAGTGCTCGCTCCCACACTCTTAGGACGGCGGCACGATGGCAATGCCGAGGAAGAGGATGCCCAGGCTGAGCACGGGAAGCAAAGGATGAAGCGATGGGAGCGTTCAGTTCAACCATCCTTGAGTCCCTTGCGCTTCGCCGGTGCTCATAATGCCTCCGGTATATGGACCTGATATGCAGGGAAAGGGAACCTCATGCGACAGTGACAGTTTAGTCTCGAGGCCCGACCAGTGCCCCCGAATCCATGCGGGTGCCAAGAGCTCCACAACTTTGCAGTCTGTTGTTTCAATTTCAGCTTACGATTTCAGCGACGTCGCAGGCTTCTTCTAAGTGTCATGATCTGTGCACCCCGTGAGTGCCGCGAAGACAAGCCCTAAATCTAGAATCTAGTTGCACTGGGGAGGCAGCAGAAGACCCTGAAGACACCATCGTCGCACAGTCGAACCGGCAGCGGCCTGAAGTCGTCGTCACCAGCCCAACATGTTTATAAGTCACCGGAATCACGATGTGCGCATGCGGGTGCAGTTTCTTGGGAAGCTGCTCCGGCATAGCACTGCGATCGATGAACTTGAAGAACGGGCCTGAGCGGTTCGCATCGTCGAAACGGGAGATAATTTGCCCATGACGTATGGAATGTCATAATGTGCTTGGAAATCCTCACTTCCAACCAAGCTGTGACTTCTAACAAACTGAAGGCACCGACTTTGGTACAGCTGCGAGCTGGTATCAGCTTGCAGCGCCTTCCTGCCATGGCACTCAGCTAAGCCCCTTAACTGGCATCTTGTTGCACAGGGTTGCAACCGTCGAGAGGAAGCGCACGAGGCCATGAAACCATGCGGTTATTCGTTCTCAAGCTGGTCTCTCTGCATTGGGTGCCGGGCAGTAATGAAATGAGACCCCATGGACTGCGCTCGTCCGTGGATTTGATGTCCTTTCTTCAGGCAGGCAGGGCACCAGTAGAAGGCACAACTCTTGCGGCCTCTGCGTACACAGTGGGCCTTCTGAGTCACTTCTGAGTGCCTGGCATTCCAAGTCCCAACCACCATGAAAACGGTGTTCACCACCACCGATCCATTGGAGAGTGACGCCACCTCCATTTCGAAGCATCGCAGCTTGGATATCGTGCGCAACACTTTGAAAGGCCAAGGCTTGAATTCGCGTTGGATCCGCGTTGAGTATCTTCCCCATCTCGTAGACGTAGCCTCAGACTGCAAGGCGGCAAGAGCCTGCCAGTCATGAACTGGAGCTGTCTAATTGCCACACCATGCCGTTTCCAAAAACGGCCCTACTCAAAACACCTACGTGACACGAAGAAAAGACGGAGAGGTCCCGGCGGTAGATGAAATATCGCTGCTCTGCATCGTCGGAGGATCGCGAAGCAATTGGAGTTCCGCCTCAAAGCCCAGGCTTCGCGAGGCCATGACCTACGCCTATGCTGCAAAAAGTGCGGCAGTACCGATGGGGCTCTGATTCTAGCATATGGAATTTGATCTGCGGGCTAGGACCGATACATCTGGCGGGCTACTGCTGCCACAGGTGCTTGCTTGCTTCATATCACCGTCATGTCGACTATCATCACTACTGCGGCATGAGTCATCACCGTCATCACCATCACCGAAGGACCAGAACCACAGTCACGGGTTCAAATCGGGGCCACAGAGCCCACAGCAGAAGCACACCGTCACAATATCAACAGGATGACAAAGCCAATGCCTATGCACATCTCCACAGGGTCGTGATGCATCAGCAATCAGCACCGAACATTTCTCTTTAGTTGTCACTCTCGAAACCGCACTTCCTAGCCAATGAAGCGCCGAGATCGAAATGAAGGACAAAGGATTTCGGAGCAACCAGGCTTGATGTGGTTCTGGTGCGGCTTTCATACGACGATCGTGCTATAAAAAAAACTGTCTATTGTCACTGTAGTGTTGGTGGTATTTACTATGACTATTACTATTGCTGCGGCTGCTGCTGCTGCTGCCGCTGCTCCTGCTCCTGCTGTGACTCCTACCACCACCACAACCACGACGAAGACGACGACCACAACAACAGCAACAGCAACAGCAACGACGACTCACCCTGCACTACCGCACTTCCTGCACTACGGCACTACGGTACTACTGTACAACGGTACCAATATACCAGGGGACCACGCCACGACGGCACACCACTGCTGCTGCTGCTGCTGCTGCACGACGACGACGACGGCGGCGACGGCGACTGCAACTATTGCTACTGTTTCGATGACTTCGACAACAACTGCTGCTGCTGCTGCTGCTGCTGCTGCTACTACTACTACTACTACTACTTCTTCTGCTTCATCTACTACTGCTGCTTCTACTGCTGCTACTACTACTACTTCTTCTTCTTCTTCATCTACTACTTAATACTACTAATACCACTACTACCACTACTAC